TTAAATGGGTGGGTGGGTGGATGCGTGCACGGGGAGGGATGGATGGGTTGTTAAATGGGTGGGTGGGTGGATGCGTGCACGGGGAGGGATGGAGTGATAGTCAGGGATGGACGGACATGTGCATAGATGACTGAATGATTAGATGAATCATTGGGAGGGTGGGTGGGGGGATGATTGGCTGGTGAGATGGATGAGGGAATTAGTCTGAAATCTCTCTTGCTACATTCCAAATAGAAAAAGAGAAAATGTTTTGCTTTTAGGAAAAGAGGCAGGTTTTAGGAGAAGAGTTGTAGAAATGCCCCCAAAAGTGTCAGGCGACTATCTCCCTTCTGCTCCCCCGTGTTGACTGATGGAGAAAACGATGTGTCAGCCCAGCCTGAGGGGACCTTCTTCTGCCTCCTGCTGTTGGACAGGGGGGCGCAGCTGCTCTGGAGGGAGCCGTGGCTCTGCTTTGTGCTCTGTCTGCAGGCGCAGGTTGGCTTTGGCCTCTCCTCTGGCTCCAAGCCTGTGGCAGGCAGGTGTGAAGTCACCTGTGTGGAGGTGACCGTTCCATTCCATCTGTGTTTATTTACTCCTCTAGGAACCAAAGCCCCTCACCACGGGAAGATGCCAGTTCTACTCCAGGGGGGCTGGATACCTGCACGACGTCTACCAGGCGGAGGTGAGCGAGAGCGCTGTGTGGCGCGTTGGGTCCCCACGCTGCTCATCCCGCAGACCCTGCCAGGCTTCCTGTGTCCCCTGAGTCGGAATATTTTGATGCTCAAAGTTCTTCCCGTCGTGGCTTCGCCTGTGGGGTGGTGAGACATTTGTCACTTGCGGCTTGTTTTTGAGCTAGCCTGGACATTCCAATGTCCTGTGTTCCCTTTGGAATCACAGCTGTGGACTTGCTTCTTTGACACACATCAGTCTTGAATTCATTTGCCCAGTTCTGTGTGGCTTTTCCAATTATCATTTTTTACTGGTCTAACTATTACAATAAAAAGCTCGGATGATACATTAACACCGTCCAAGAAACTCACTGGCTGTCCCTGGGCCAGGGACAGCTGCAGCATGATTCCGTTTCTCTTCCTAGGCGAGAGAAGTGCCAGGAAAAGCACGTCCGAGGCCACCCAGCCGGGTGCGCAGCTCTGTGCTGACTGTGGCTGCCTCATGCCAGCTCTGGGTGCATTTGTCAGTTTAGCTAAACACGGCCTGTCAGACTGAGTACAGATGTCAGAGGAGGAGGCCGGAAAGCAAACATCCCCGCTGGCTCATTCTGGGATTCTCCAGGAACCCACACGGTCCTGGGTAGTCGTCGGTCGTTCTGGGCATTTCAGGGAAGAGGTGCCATGTGGGGCAGGCAGGAGTGTGCTGGGACAGGCCTCTGCTGCCGGCTGCTCAGCGGGTACCAGGTGTCCTCTCCAGAGGCTGGTCCCGGCACTCGTGGCCTGGCTGGAGGGAGCCCCAGGGACGTATCCTGTCCCGACAGTGTCCCAGGCCCTCTAGCCTCTGTGCAGCCCCTGCCAGAGGGTCACTCTGTCCTTCCCACCAGCACCCTGATGCTTTCAGTCCAGGCCAAGGTCGGTTTCCCTCTGCTCCTGGGATCACAGAGAAGCGAGGCCCCGTCTGCCTCCTCCAGTTAATCAGGCCTCTGAGACCAGGCCCATCCCCGGGACTCCCCTGTGCGCCCGAGCCTGGATTTGTTCCTGCTCGGGGAGGGTCCTGCTGCCCCAGCAACACTGTGGAATCGTGGAGAACAGGAAGGGGCTCAGGAGACGGAACCACCAGCCGGGGCTGGAGCCGTTGCCCATGAGGACGAGGCCCCTGGGACACAGCCCGACAAGGTCTCTCTGCCCGCAGGTCACCTGTCACTCCTTGAACGGCAAGTGCCAGCTGAAGGTGAGGAGCAACACCTGCTACTGCTGCGACCTGTACACTTGTGAGAGGTGAGGGTGACCATGGCGAGGCGCACACACACGCACCCGCACCACAGCACCACACGTGCACGCCATGTGTGCCGCTGGAACCTGCAGGGCCCGGCCCGTCAGGACCTCAGGTCGCTCGGCGTGCCGCCAGAAACTCCAGCAAGCCTCTGGAGGGCTCTCGGCACTTTACGCCTGGGCTGGGTGGCGCCATCAGTCCGGAGCCCCGGGGCAGGCCCTCCCCAGACAGCGGCTGGGCAGCTGAGGATTTTCAGTTGGGACGGTGTCTCTGCTACCTTAGAAAGCCACTTTTCCATAGCAGAAGGCGCCTCTCCACCCACTTTCTCGACTAGCAAGGGTGCTGAGGTGCTGCCCTGGGTTGCCGGCGATTCCAGGTAGAGTACGGCCTGGGATGAGGGTCCCGCCCTTGGAGCCCACCAGTCCAGCCTCCGGGTGGCTCCTGACTTTGGGAATGTGACTTTGAATGCCATCAGTTCAGATAGGACAGGGTCCCCAAGGCACCCTGCAAAAAGCAGGTCCATTTACCAGATGTTTTCCTCCTGGAGATTCAGACACACGTGGCCAGTGACTGTTCCTGGGCCACATGTTGAGAACCATTTGTTTGGGCAACCCTGGCTAAAACTCACATTTCCAGGAGCAGCAGTGGTGGATCCAAGTCCCTGGAAGTTCAGGAAGTGGGCTTTTCTGTGACCACCCTGTGGCAGGGGCCCTGGAGACTAGGTGTCCACCCCCCAGGGCTGCCCACTCTGACCTCAGCTGGCATCGTCCAGGTGTCCCCCAGCCTTGTGACCAGGTGACAGGCATCAGCACAAGGCTGCTGGCCCCAGCCCTGCACAGCCCCTGCCCCAGGCTCGGGGGCTGAAGTGACACCCTTGAAGGCTCCCTGTCAGGGCGGCTGGGTGGAGAGTTCAGACGTCGGCTTTTACACTCTGCCTGCCCAGAGCACTCAGCCTGGAGTCACCTCATGGGGAAATCAAGGCCCAGCCCTCCTGCCCTTCTGCGTGGTCTGATGCTGAAGCAGTGGGCATGGGCTGGACATGGCTCTTCCCAGGTGGACATCCAGACTCCTCACGACAACCTGCTGCTATGGCCTCAGGAAGGCCACCGAGCCGGCTCCCCAGCTGCCTGCCCTGGCTGGCTCTTCTAGGGGCTCCTCCAGACTCAGAGACCTTCCTGGGATGGAACTTCGTTTGGCTCCAGCACTAACTTCCTCCCCAGCTCTTCATCACTCAGCAATGAGGTCACCTGGCCACAGGTGCAATGAGTGAGGGGAGGTCACCTGACCTTGGGTGTAACAGGAGATGGGAGGTCACATGACCACAGGGGTAACAAGCGAGGGGAGGTCACTGACCTCAGCTCTAACCCTCGCTGGGGGTGACGCTGTCCTTCCCTCCTGTGTGCAGTGCAGAGCAGTCGCCCGCCTACTACGAGTTTGTTGGCGTGAGCGGCTGCCAGGACGTGGTGCACCTGTACCGGCTGCTCTGGGCCTCGACGGTGCTGAACATCCTGGGACTGCTCCTGGGCATCGTCACGGCTGCGGTCCTGGGGGCATTCAAGGACATGGTGAGTGGCACCTCTGCATCTCCAGCCGCTGCTCTTAGGTGGCTGGCGGGTCTCTGCTCACTGCTGGGGGACCTGTCTGAAGGGCATTAGTTAGGGTGCCCGCCGGCGGCTCCAACTGCTTCCACGGAAGTGGGCCTGGGTATTCCTGCCCACCTGAGTATTACCTGCTCACCTCCCCGTCCTAAGAAACAGCGCAGCACGGGGCGTCACGTCTCGTCTTCCCACCGTTTCTCATCCGCCTCTTGTGGAATTAAAACAGTTTGGAGCCAACGATTTGGTACATCTGGGGTGGGCTTGGGTCCATATTTTAAAAACCTCCAGAGGTGACTCTGACATGGCCACAGCT